AGCACCGGGTGTGCCTCCACAGCGGATGATGATGTTTTAACGTCACTCATAACTGTCCTGTTGCTATGACAATACACCGGTCTTGGTTTATCGTTTATAGATTGAGTTGATCGACAGGACGGCTAGCGTGGCTATGGCTATGGCTACAAAGGCAGAAGCGTGACATTCTTCCTCTTTATATATAATCTCGGATTGAGGCACACGGGGACACCGTTTAAAAGATCTCCTCGAGAACAGATAATCACATATCAAAGTTTACTTGCGTGTCGCATCGATAAAGCAGGCCAATGAAAGCAAGAGCTTCCGCGCAAACGGCCCTTGCCCACCAAATAGCTGCAAAAATAGGTCGCTGGTTGAAACTACCATGTGTTGTGGGGCCAAGAGCATCTGCTACGTGGGATCCTGCTCATGAATTACATGGAATATAGAGGCACAGCCGAGGAAATGGCCCTGTATCTAACTGTTTCTCTTAGTGTTGTGACGTCTTCGCTATGCCCTATTGTGATTTGAATCCTTATCTGCCATTCCTAATGTGGAAGGTGCTAACCGGTAACCTAAGCAGGGAGTTTTGCTTGGTTTGTCTTTGTTTCTTTTTTTGGGGGGCGGCAGATTAGGTGTGGATGGCCCGATGGCTTTCTACAATGATGGGTCCACCTGTTTGGCTGCCATGTAAAGTGCATTGTCATTAAGGTGAAAGGTGTGACTGACTATGACCACCTGGGAATATGGTCCATCATTCTATCCTAATCTGTGAGGAGCATTCAAGGAGTCGTCTACTTTATTAAGTTACTTGCCGCGCGGAGTTTTTTGTGAAGTTGGTCCTCTCCCGACTGTCAAGGGAACCGGAAATTATTTTACAACCGCTTGGCCATCACTGGCGATACTCCGTTATTGATTGCTGATCACTAGCCATAACAAAACTAATCGTAATCAGTGATCGCCACTGTAAACTAAGATTTACGTAAGCGACTCCCTCTAAATGTACAGATCAATGCTCTTTGCATTGATCCGCACTCTATGCGTGGATTGCAGAACGTATAAGTCTCGGTCAGGACTCCCAGTAAGGTGGGTTCGAACAACGTTTCACACAAACAGAAACAAAAATGTCTCCAATTCCGCGCATTAACTAACGCGTGGCCACAATGTGCAGTGCTTGAGCAGTAAAATGGACCCCGAACACTTCGAACACTTCTAAGTGTATCAGAGGATAGTGGAACGGCGCGGCTGAGATTGATATAGACAGATATACACTATTAATCCGATTTTGGTATTTGATTGCGGTTGAGATTGTTAAACTAGTTACACAGTCCCGATCAAGGCAGAACAACCAGCTGATAATTCCCTACATAGGATCTACTCTGAAGCCACAACTTATATATATTACATCACACCAACAACGTAGAATGACACTAATAAAAATTGCAAATCGGCCTTGAAATTACCTCAAGTGTGCCAAACCGTAGCCCACACACCAACTAAGAGATACACAGAGTATGGGCATGCAATGTTCAATACTCTATGAGACATAGTCATTCATATTAGAATGATGCTAATAACAATACCGGTTCGGTCTCCAAGTGCTCCCCAAACATGGCAATCCTTGTTCGACACACCATGTAAGAGATCCACCAAGTCTGAGAGCATGCGATCCTCAATACTTCCAGGGATGTAATCATTCATAAATTGGTCAAATTCATCAAAAAACAGGAAATATTTGCTTATATCTCAACAACAAAACAAAATTAAGAACATCTACGGGGTCAAACAGTCACACTGATCTATACCATCATATGTAACGACCTTCAGCTTGATTAAATTGGTTGTTCTTGCTAAATAACCCCCCCCCCCCCAATTCAATTTCCTACTATATAACTGAGGCCCGTCGTTACTCCAACAACCTTAAAAATGCAAGGGCGTTGCTTCGCCATGACCATCAAGTCACAGGATCAACTCTTACAGACAAAGTTGGTCTACAAAAGGATCAGCCATGGTCTGTTCATGGCCAGATTTACATTACACGCTCAAGGTTGACCTACGTAAATAACTCCTGCATGCTTTTGACCAAAGGTCTATGCAATAACCAAGGTGATCACATAGTGATCAGTGAAGTGTTTGAAAAGTCGCCACACACATAAAGAGCGAGATAAATCTTTTCCATACTAACGGGACTTAGATTAGTATCGTTCTAATTATCCACACAATTCACACGCTTGCGACTATATATACGAAATCTTACGCTACGGTTACAGGAAACTCTTCAAGAGCAGATTTGGAAAGTTCCAAAGGCATCCTATTAACGAGGAACCAGATATTAAAGCCAATACCCGAAAGGCCACGCAAAGCAAGTTGATCGGGAAGGTCCAAATCGCGTTCACCATACTGAAGCTATACAGGTCAACATGTGCGTTCCTATGGTTCAACACAAATGGAGGGCAGCATCTTAGATACCTTTAGTACAAACAGTATAAGAAACAAGAGAGCCCAATCATTATTAACCCGTACTCAAGCGTATTTATCTGCCTTTGATGAGGACAAAACTGTGTCTATTTGGTCTTCAGATGAACCTTCAACACCGTTAATAGTATCAAGGTAAACTTCCTCGTCCAAATTGGATTTTGGACCTGTGTAGTACTTTTTCTTGTATGTGAAGTAATAAACAACGGAAAGGATCCAGATGCCACAGTTGATGACAACAGCGTAGTTCATGGTGTCTTTATCTGGATGTCTGGTGCTTGGGAAGCAGGCAAGAACAATAAGAAACGCTTGGAATGCAAGTGCAGTGAAGTTAATGCAAAATGACATTTTAGCACCATAATGAAACTTGCCTGGGA